GGCTGAAACGCTTTCCTGCGCGAATGGCGTGGCGTGCGGGGGGCGGGGGGTGTGCTCGCAGCGATGTGTGCGTGTGTCGGCATGTAAACACCGCTGCGGTTATCACGGGCAGGTGGAGGGAAGGGAGAGGTCAGGCGGGGTTCGCAGCACTTGGACGGGCAGGGCAGAAATCGGAGGCCGTGTTCTGCCCCCAGGAATCATGGAATGGTTAGGGTTGGAAAGGACCTCAAAGATCATCTAGTTCCAACCCGCCTGCCATGGGCAGGGAAGTCCTCCACTACATCAGGTTGCCCAGGGTCATCCAGCCTGGCCTTGAACACTTCCAGGGATGGGGCATCCGCAACTTCTCTGGGCAACCTGTTCCAGTGCCTCGTCACCCTCAGAGTGAAAAATTTTTTTCTTCTATCCAATCTAAATTTGCCCTCTTTCAGTTTGAATCCATTGCCCCTTATCCTATCACTACATGCCCTTGTCAAAAGTCCCTCTCCAGCTTTCCTGTAGGCCCCCCTTTAAGCCCCTTAAGGAAGGGGCTGCTCAACTCCCTTTGCTGCTTCTCATTTCATTTTTGCTTTTCAAAAACCACTTGGCAGAAATTCGGGCAGAGGAAAGCTGCTCCCTGCTTAGCAGACGAGGGCTGGTGCTCACCACTCTCCACCCTGCTCTGTGGGATGAGACCCCTTCCCAGCATGGGCTATGAGTGGAAGAAGCACAGGGATGCTCAGCATCTCCCAGCCTTCCTGGCACCCCCTGGCCCGGGGAGCAGCCCTGGGGCCAGTCAGGGAGCACACAGGCAACCATTGAACCCCCATGGCAAGGCTCCAGCTCTCAGGGCTGGCATCAGGTAGGGCATTTCCTACCAGCCCAGGCAACACTTTGCACAGCCCCTGAATAATAGAAATGAATTAAAGAAAATTAGGGCAAAAGAACAGTCTCCCTGGAGATGCTGATTTACCCCTTACACCACATGCTGGCATTGGTCTGTGCTTGCACAGCCCCCTGACCCAGTCATCAGGTAGGGCATGAACTGGTAAATGAGGCTTTAGCCCCCCTGCCCTTCCCAGCACATATGTGCTCTGACATCATTACTGTGTCTGCTCTCCAGAGACACCCTACAGCATACTTTGTAGGAGCTGCTGGATGGAAACAGCCTCCATGGGACACCCCTTGGTGGGATTGGGAACAGTTCCCATCCCACAAGCTGAATCCTAAAAGTCTGCTTCTAACACTGACCAGTGCATAGAAGTAAAGTGTACAGTATGGTGGTTACAGAAACCACAGGACCTGGGTGTACAGAAATAAATGTGATTTTTTTTTTATTCAGCTGCTAGACACAGGCAGACCATGTAGCCCCTCGTGACTTTGATCTGCCAGGCCTGGGTTAGCACAGCCTGCACAGAGACCTTCAGCACAGGAGCTGGCTGGCTCAGAGGGCTGTGGGAGGGGCAGACCAGCCCCAGCAGCAGGATCCCATCCCGCACCCAAGCCACCACCACACATCTCTACTTATTCAGGCCTTTTGCAGCTGCACATGAGCTGCTCATGCAGTCAACTTGCTTATTTGTGGATACAAATTCACCATTGAAACAAAAAAAAGTAGCAAGAAAGGCAATAAGGATGGTGAACTAGAAGCCTGCCCAGAAGATCTGACCTATTTTGGCTTTTTAGCTCCAGTCCATCTCCAAGCCCTAGTTAAGGTGCATAAAGACAGACTTATTTTGCTGGGAAAAGCTTCACAACAGCTTTCAGCAGGTTCCCCCTGGAGAAAAATACTCTTTGAGGGAGGGAAATAAAAAAGTAGTGATCTGCAATTGAAAAGCCACTTCATCATATTTAGTTGGAACTATTAGAGCAGGTTTTCTCAGGGCAAAGCTGTTGTCAGCAGAAGCAGATTCATTTGGGCTGCTTCACTTGGTGGGTAGGATGTCACCTTTCTTTTCCACTCTTCCCCCTCTCTACATTGGCTGTATTATAATGCATCAGTTTAATTGCATATTTTTTCTTTGAGGCTGAAAGTCAACAATGGCAGAGCCTGAAAGCACCATCCTAAACACCGATGTGAAACAGGTAAAAAGTTGTTCATGACAAAAATACGCATCCTGTATTTCTAAAGAAAATTTTGAAATGCCACTGCAGGAGAAGACACACCACAACCCAGAGCTG